CGACGAGCCCGAGCCCGAGGTCTCCGGCTCCGACTCGGCTCCCTCGTCCCCGGCCACCGCCCCCGCGCCCCGAGGCCCCGAGGCCGCGCCCGAGTCGCCCGCCAAGCTGGAGCCCAAGCCCATCGTCCCCAAAGCCGAGCCCAAGGCCAAGGCCCGCAAGACTGAGGCCCGCGGGCTGACCAAGGGCGGGGCCAAGAAGAAGGCTCGGAAGGGGGCAGCGGCTGAGGCCGAGGCCGAGGTGGAGATAGAGGAGGTGAGGCTCTGGGCAGAAGGAGGCGTCCAAGGTCGGGGGCCCTAGACGTGGTTGAGCTTGAGGCAGGATTCGGGTGCAGAGGATTTGGGGAGGAGGGTGGTGGCACAGGACAGGGCAGGGGGCAAACTCCAGCAGGGATGTGGGCTCAGTCAAGTGTAGTCTTGATTCCGGAGGACATGGAGCATAAATTACACCGCGGAGCCCCAACCTTGGGGCAGGGGGCAGGCCTTTGTGCCTGCTGTCTAGTCAGCAGGGACAGTTCTTTGGAGAACGGGGCGGCTGGGAGCGCTAAGCAGCTGGGGCTGGGTGCACTTGCCGAGTCAGGGGGATCAGAGCTGGGCACCAGCAGCATCTACTACCGGGTGTAGCAGGGAGGGCTTCCTGGGGGTGGAGGAAGGGCCCAACAGGGCTTGGCTCCTGGCCCTCCAGGCTTGTTATGGGAGGCTGGGAGCTAGGGACTGCAGTGACAGAGAGGGAAGCTAGGCTCTGAGGGACTGAAAGTGCGGCCCCAGAGGAATTAGCAGTGGGGAAGGCCGCGTGCCTGGGTTCCAGGCCCGACTGGGCCCATTGTCTACTTTGGGACACGGTCTTGCTCCTCTCTGGACCCTGAGCGATTTGGTAGATTAGTTCCAAGAATCCTCTGGCTTTGATGGTCTGCCGTCCGGTGCTGGACACAGCAGTGAGCAAAATGGGGCGGCTGGGGGAGGGTGCTCTCAGGAGGGTCCTTCCAGAAGTTCCTGCTCCTCCAGCCTTGTTGTGACTTGTGGGGGAGGTGTTTCAGAGGCCATGAGGACTCTCCACTGTTCCCAGGTCCCCAACACCGTCCTCATCTGCATGGTGATCCTGCTGAACATCGGCCTGGCCATCCTCTTCGTTCACCTCCTGACCTGACGTTCGTCCACCAGGTGCTGCCGGGAGGAGGGGGTGGGAGCCTGTAGAGAGTTCTGGGCAGCAGGGGGATGAAAGAAGGGCCTGCTGCTTGCTGGGCGTCTGTCCTGTGGTTAATTGAGACCCACCCCCCAGCAGAGGCAGGGACCTCGAGTGTGAACTTGATAGATCATGCCCTCCCCAACACACACACACACACACACACACACACGCATGGCACACACACCTCATTAGCTCAACATTTGCAGAGCACCTGCCCTCTGTCAGGTGAGCACTGGGGGCTTCACTCACTCATTCACTCACTCATTCATTCATTTGACCAACATTTGCTGAGCAACTGCTCTGCCGGGATCTAGGGGTTCAGCAGCGAGACATGGAGTGAACACGACAGGAGTAAACCCTGAACTTCCGGCTCATTCTGTGAAAGTCTTGCAGGTCAAACATCAGGCAAAGCAGTTCTTGAGCCTCTCCCCCCAGCCCCCCACAGGTCCAGACTGAGTCCCCCTGGGATGGCCGGACCCTCTTCTCTCTGCCCTCCTCTCTCTCTTCCGGAAACCCTGCTGTCAGTCACTTGGCTCCATCAATTGGTTTTCTCCCTATGAAGGAGCTGGGGGGTGGGGGTGGTGCTGGGTAAGGTCCCGTGAAAAGAGGGTGAGGTGGGCTGGGCTGAAGGGAAGCGGCCCTCACTGGTCTCAAGGTGAAGCATCTACAAGACGAATAAAATCTTTCTCCTGCTAGGACCAGCTTTCACATGGTAACTCCTGTGCTTGGTGATGCTAACAGAGTTTCTGCCTCTTGCCCTGCCCCTACCAAAGACCCCCTCCCTGGATCCTAGCTTAGTGTAGGCTGGAGGTTCCTCCTCAGTCCCAGAGGAGAAGACTCCCTGTCCTGTCACCGTGTAAATAGCCAGTGACAATCTTAGCCTGGTAGGTGTTGCCCTGGGGGGCGATGCTGAGCTCCATGGGATCCGTGGTTCATAGGGGATCTGGGAATGATTGCTGCAGGGACTGAGGACGTAATGACCTGAGGATGGAAAGTGTGACCAAGATGGCAGTGGGGGAGGAGGAAGGAAGGGAAGAGTGTACCAGGCAAAGGGAACGGCACGTGCGAATAAGCAGAGGCATCGTCCAGAAGGAGAATGAAGCAGGTGCCAGCGAGGGCCAGGGGAGGCCTCAGGGACTTATCTCTGATCCCGCAGAGTCAGAGCTGAGGGGCAAGGCTGCCCTGGGGGCTTGCGGGGTTGGGATCTTGCCCCAGAGATCAAGCCTGAGACTTGAACTCTGCCTTGAACCCCCGCCCCTCCTCTCGCCTGACACTCTTGCCGTCTCTTTGCAGACCTGGGAATTCCTGCTAAGGACGCAAAGACTCATCTTTTTGCAGTGCCATGCAGGGTGGCCAAGGAGGACTGGACTCTGGACCTGGAGCCCCCAGGTCCAGCTCACTTCCACACCGCAAACGTTTAAGGAGGCCTCCCGTGGCACCCAGAGGACTCGAATGTGCTGGGAACCCCCCAGGAGCTCTCCGCCCAGAGGCAGGGAAAGGCCAGAGGGAAGAGCCCTGGTCTCTCCAGCCCCCTGATGTGCTCCTGTCCCTCATCCTCACCCTCCCCCTCGCCTCGCCCCGAGGTCACCCCTTCCCTGGGCTTTTGTGTGTTTTGGGAGAAGTCACCAAAGCAGGATATTAATCTTAAATCCCAGCCCCCTTCCTTCTACCCTTCCCTCGCTTTATTTTAGCCTCTGGCTGCTGGGCTGAGGCTCCCAAGCAAGCAGAGGGAGTGACGAGATCCGCGTGGTGGCCAGCGGGGGATGCGCTCTCAGCGCAGACGCCCTTCCTTTTGCAGGCTTGACCCAGCACTCTGTCCCTTGCTTCTGGATGTTCTGGATGACAATAGAAGAAATGGACATGCTCGGTCTGAATATCCCTGGATATAGTGCTCCCGTCTCCTCCCACCGGTCCGGTTAGCTTCCCTCCTGGACCAATAGAAGAGGGGGAGATGTGAGGAATTGGAGCCTTTGGCCGGGAAGCCACTGACCGGGTGGCCAGGGGGTGGGGGTGGAAAGACGGGCTAAGGGGCCGTTAAGATGCCCCCGTTTGTGAGTGTGCCTGAGCCTGCATTTAGTGTGCTCAGGGTGCACCGGGGTCGCCTGTAGGAGCCCAGGGCTGGCAGAGATCAAGCTCCTGTGATGCCTGTGGACTGGTTTGTCTGCTTGCCCCACCAGGGCCACTGCAGGCCCAGGGGAGCATGAGCATGGAAGCCCTCAGAAGCCCAGGCAGATTTCCCTGGGGCAGACTCGCAGGCAGGTGCCCAAACAGGCTCCTTGTTGACAGCATTTCCCAGGGAGAGAGGTGGAAGTCCGGCGCTCCCACTGGGCGCAGTCTGTGTGATAATTAGCCCCTCCGCTTGTTTGCAGAAGAGAGTATTTGCATGTAGCCCATTACAGATGTTTGGTTCCACACAGGGTCTCTGGGCCCTTGTGCTTGCTGGGGGTGGGTGGAGGCTGAGGGATTGTGCCCCCGGGAGGACAGATGAAATGGCCCCTCTGAGGGTGGCGGGGGAAGGATGTGGTGATGGCATCCACGCAGAGCTAGGAGGAGCTGCTGCCCTTCTGCCTTTGTTTCTCTGGACCTGGGGGCTTTGGCATGGTGACCTGGCCTCCCGGGAGCGGCTCTGCGACCTGAAGTTTGCTTCTGATGGGGTCAGCGCTCCCCTCCCCCCCAATACTTGGGAGCCTTCCTCCAGCCCCACACTTTCCGTTTCGAGCACTGCTGGGACTCGTGGCGTGGCTGGAATCGTGGACTGCGTTTCTGCGGAGAGGAGCCTGCGGATTCTCCCATCCTCATGGGGACCGGGGCTTTGCATCTGTGTTTGGGCTTTTCTGGACTCCTAGGGAATGAGGGGGTGGGCTGGGGGCACTGCTCAGGGCTGACAGGCTCCAGGCCTCGGGTTTGAGGTCACTGTCTGGATTTTTTGGTCTGGCCCAGGGCTGGGGATGAGCCTTCGGCTGCCAGAGCTCCCAGGCCTAGTTTGGGGGCTGGTGTTAGGGGTGAGGGTTCAGGATGCTGCAGTCTGTGCAATAATAAACTTGCATCTGCTCACAGGCTCTGGCTGGGCTGTGGTGTCTGCTTGTGAGACCACGATGAAGGACTGGCTGAGGGAGGGCAAGAGAGGCTGGGGGCCTCTGGGTCATTCTGATCCAGCCCCCTCCCCTCTCTCTTACAGTTCCCATAATACCTTGTGAGGGGCAGCTGAAGCTTCAGTCCTGGAGGGGCTGCTCAGAGGCCACAGACCTCTTAAGGCAGACACTGAGTTTCTAAAGCCGACTTCCAGAAGCTTCCCTGAGCAGCATATGATAGAAGAAAGAGTCTGCCTTTTGAGGTCAGGTCTCCTTGGGCTCCAATCCTGCTCAGCCACTTACTTCACTTCTCTGAGCCTCAGTTTCCTCATCTGTAAAATGGGGAAATAATAGTACTGACCTCCTGGGGTCGTGGTGAGGATTACAGTGGATGTTGAAGCGATGTAAAGCCCAGCTGTGGAAAGCAGTTGAGAAATGGAGACTGCATCATTATTGCTGTTACACTGCAGTACTGTCATTAGCCCTCTTGCATTTTAATTGAGCACCCTGGAAGCCCCCAAGGAGTTGAGATGATTCAGGCCCCAGTCAGATAGTCCGGAATGTCTCAGTCGGAGGGGGACTCAGAGACCATCTTCATATCTACAGAGAAGAAGACACTTGCCCGAGGTCACACAGCATGCCAGTGGCAGGAAAGCAGTTGTCTTGACTTGTTTGTGAATAAGCACTTTCCATGAAGCTTCTCTCAAAGCCGGCAGCCCCCTGAGATTGTTGGAGGGGAGAGTCCCTCTCCCGTCAATAGACTTGAGTTCAGGCAGGTCCTGGAGGGATTTGGTGAGCAGGAGTCCTGGTTCTCTCCTCAGTGCTGTCACTGACTTGCTGTGTCTCAGTCATCTGTGCCTCAGTTTCCTCTCCTGCCAAGGAGACCATAATCCCTGCTCCACTGCCTTCGTCACAGGGAGTGCAGTTGTGAGAATCAAATGGGGTAGATTATGGGTGGTAAGGAGGATTTTCAAAACTGTAGAATGATCCAGGGATCCCCAGGAAGAGGGATGGGTTTGGAGGGACCTCTGGAGGGGTGTTGAGAGTGGGAATGAGGAAGGAGTTGTTTTAATCTGTAGATGTTTTGATTAGACCCGCCGGGGGAAGGGGGTGGGCAGCCAGCCCAGTTGGCTGGTCTGTAGACTGGCCGTGTGTGTGTGTGTGTGTGTGTGTGTGTGTGTGTGTATAGAAAGTGGGAGTGAGGGGTCGGGGCAGTGAGATGTATGCATTAGAATCACCTTAGATGGCTTGAAAAGAAGTCTCGGCCCTGAGACCCCAGTGGAGCCTCCACGTCCGGGAAGGTTGGTTGGAGTCGGGTGCCCCCTGGTGGCTCAGGCACAGCACACAGCCACCAGTAGCTAGGCAGTTTGTCCTGGTCCTCTGCCACGTCCGGGATCCATGTAAGGTGTCTTGTGCCATGGGGGAACTTGAAACCACCTTGTGGGCATTGCCAGGGCCTATGATCACTGACCACTGCCGTGGGGTCTCGGCAGGACTCTTCCAGGGCAGAGAAAGGGAGCGGGCCCAAGAGCTGTGGGATTCAGAAGTGGGATCAGTGGCAAGAAGGGAATTTTCATAATCTCTGATGGACCCACAGAGGATCCGGCTGTTCTGGGAAACTCAAGATGCTTTTTGTTGCATGTAACAGAAAACCAGCCAGATGGTCTGAGGTCTTTGGAGGCCTCAAGCCTGAAAGAGTGATATGGAATGTGCTCTAACACATAACAACTCAAAATAAAAACAATACTTAAACTGTAAAACACAAAACTTGCATGTACGCTGAAATTAAGATAGCTCTTAATTTTTTTTCCTTTTTGCAAAATTCTGACTGTGTCTAGGGAGGCTGAACTTCTCCCTCCCTCCCCCTCTCTCTGTCCCTGTCGGGCTGGTCCACCAAAAGAAGG